GACATTTTAACATGACATCACTCCTTAGATTAATAAATTTGACTGATATTTGGGAATATTTTCGGTTGTAAAATGACCTGAAGTTGACTCGTGTGCAGACTTTAATCACATATTCAGTGAAACCAGTTACTAAACATGCTAGCCACACTTAGCAGTGAAACACAGCAAACTACAGGAAAGTTTAATTCACCCGAAGATGCTGAGATGAAACGAGGCTGAAGGGCTGCAGAGGGAAATGGCTTCCTGCAGCGACGATGGAGAGAAAAACCCGGACAGAGTTCCTAAAGCAGCTTACCGGCCCGCCGTGTGTTAATGAGGGTATGAAGTTATTAACTTAATGGGGCCTGGATGCTTTATTTTACTCTCAAACGGATCCAGAGAGAAGCTGGCGAGGCTCTAATACTCTGCAGAATACATTAAACCTAATGTGGTGGCGAGTAAGTGGCCCGAACTGCAGGTGAGTAAAAACACCAGGAACACAAAGAACAACAGAAACTTCTATTAATGAGCTCTACGGCTAAAAGAGCGGAAAAAAACACTACAAGGACGGAAATATTCACCTTAAATGACCAAAGAAAGGCATTAAAAGGCAAAAAAAATCACTGTAGCAGGTCGATAAGGTGATAATGTATTAATATTGTGCTGCAGCGGTTTACATGCAGAGAAAAAAAACAAAGCTTGATGCTTATTTTAAATGAAATTATTTCCAATGAATGCAGATCAACGTGTGATGCAGCTGAGATTAGAGGTTAATGGGAAAAAGGAGCAACACAGAAAGGCTCGAGAACAACCTTCAGCTCCCTGCAGCTTCTCGATTTTACATAAAAAAGTCAATTCAAAAGTAAAAAATTGCATAAAATGATTAATTTCTCCAAAATTACTCAGTCAGAGGAGCTGGAGATGCACTCAGCAGCCATGTTTCCATACTTTTATACACATTTTGAAGAACTGCAGTAGAATACGTTGTCTGAAACTACAAAAATACGTTAAATGTTTGCTCAAAATTTCTCCAAAACTACAGAGAATTTGGCCAGAATGGCAAAAAATGGTCTAGAATTCGTCCAAAATAGCTCAGAAATTGTTTAAAGGACTTACAAGTTGTCCAGAGTGACTTAAAAACGCTTTAAAAACTCAATTAGCTCAGCGCTAACCAAAGCGCTAACCAAAGCGCTAAACGCACGAATCTGGACAACAGACGCACAACATCCACATTAATTAGAAATAAAGCAGGTTCACATACACCTGGATTCTTGTCGATTCATTTGCTCTTCACCTGAGTTTTGCTGTTAGCCTGATGCTAAGCTAGGCTAAACAGGGACTTTAGCTACATAGTTGGTGCACAGATATTAGGTTTTTAGAAGGGAAATGAGCTTATTCTGCTCATAAAAAACAATGAAAATGTGTTTTACATGATGCCGTTGATGCCTCAGTGTGTATAAAATCTGTTTTGTTTTGCATTTGCAGTTTCACTCCGGCTATTAACGCCATAAACTCCTGGAGAAGCTGCAGGAAGCTCAGCGCTAACTGAACCGCTAAACGCTGTTACCCTGAGCAGCATATGCACGACATGGACATTCATTAGAAATACAGCAGGTTGAAGTAAACCTGGAAACTTCTTGATTCATTTGCTCTTCACCTGTTAGCCTGTTGCTAAGCTAGGCTAAACGGGGACTTTAGTTAGACAGTTGGCGCACAGATATTAGGTGTGCAGAGAGGAAATGATCTAATTTTGCACATAAGAAATGACATAAGTGTGTTTTACATGATGCCATTGATGTGTCAGTGTGTTTAAAATCTGTTCCTGCATAAACTCAGAGCGTTTGTACGACGTGCAGGACGGTGCAGCTGCAGCACTTACAGCCAGGAGTATCTGCAGCGAGGAGTGAGCCACCTCGATGAACTGGAAATCCATCAGGCAGCCGGATATAGAAATATATCGGTGGTCCTCGGGCGCCCAGGACGGGGGAGGCACGATGGGAGTCACCCTGCAGCCCGGCCCGTTCTCCATCCACCAGGAGCGATGCATGGACAGGTTGAAGGTCAGGACGAGGTCGGAGTCCTGGAGACGCCGAGAAAGCACAGAGAGTTGGATTACAGTCAGAGGACGAACCACAACCGATCGGCAGCAGCAGCAGACGGAGAGTCTTTAACCGGGTTTAAACAGAACCGAGCCCTGAAATAATCAACCAGTGT